TTAGGTGTGCACGAAGCACGAAGTAAAGCGCAGTTGCTTCCTCGAGACAAGTTCACATGCTAGACGTCCAGGAATATTCGTATGAGAACTTCGAATCGAGACGATCGACTTATTGTGCGTTTATTGCTAAGAAGCCGCCGTTTTCCAGCTTTTCAAATTTATAATGAATTGCATCTTGATATTCCCATATGTTTAAGAAGAAAGATCTTTAACCAGTGTGTCTTGTCTGTCCTCACGTATGGTGCCGAAACACTTACTTTGACAAAAAAAGACGCAAAAACGCAGAATGCAACGGAAAATGGAAAGGTCCATGTTGGGAGTTACACTCAGAGATAAAATACCCAATCATGCAATACGAAATCGAACAGGAGTAAGAGATGCGGTGATATCTGTCTTACATCGTAAATGGAATTGGGCAAGACATGTGGCTAGCATGACAGATGGACGGTGGACAAAGAGACTTGTGGAGTGGAGACCGAGACACGAAGCCTATAGAAGTAGAGGACGACCTCCTAGTCGATGGACAGATGATATTAAGAATGTGGCTGGAAACTGGATTCAAGTAGCACAAAATAGAAAGAAATGGCTAGAGTTAAGGGAGGCTTTTGTTCAGCAGTGGACGGTATAAGCTGAATGATGATGAATGAATTGCACCTAAGGGAACGTTCATCTAAAGTGAACAGACTGTAAGAAAAAGATTAAACGAAGCAAATCTTATGTCAAGAAGGCCTGCTACGGGATCACAACTGCAAGGTCTGTTGGCCAAGACCAAAAGCAAAGGGATGGTTTTAATATAAAAATTACGAAAAAATAAAAAAAGTGTCCTCTTCAAAAGCGATTATCTCCATCAAACAGGGCCGTATCTGGGGGAGTGTTTTGGGGGTTCAACCCCCCCCCCCCCGAAATTATGGCCGAAAATTTTTAAAAAGTAATGATCATTGAGTAAGTAAGAACGAAACAAAAAAGAAGAAAAAGATGGATGAATATCTATGACTAAAGAATACAAGGACATGTAACGCCCATATACGGGCTGCAGCAGAATTTGTGACCTTAGACGCCAACTTTTTAGACATAACGAATGAATCATCAGCTGGTCATCAGCGACAATTTTAGCGATTTTTAATAGTTGTGTGTAGTGAACTTTGTATAAACTTTATTACAATGGTAATTTGTTCAGCTGTCAAGTGTAAAAGGCGCAATGATAAGAAAGAGCCAGAAGTTACGTTTTATAGGGAAATAAATAGTCCCCTACACCTTTTTAGCGTTTTTTTTTATTGAATTCGATAATTATTTTTCTGATATTATATGTACTTCATATGTACTATACGTCGATACTAGTTATGTACCTTTTGTTAACATTTTAATACGTTTTTTTCGTAATTAATTAGTATGATACCACCCGATACACCATAGGCGTAGTGAAAACATATAATATCAAAAATATAAATATCCCTTCAAGCGGCAATGTTAAGTAAAATATGTGCCACGACACTGTTTGGAAGAATGGTCACAGTTTGGTTTCGGGTGCTATTTGTCCTTGTATTCTTTAATCATTGATGAATATACATTATACATCCTAATCTCACTTTTCCACTTTGAAAGCAAATGTCATTTTCAATTTTCGACTTTCAACATTCAAGTGTTTAAAACAGCAAAAGTTTGATAAGGACAAGATTTTGAATGTTGTGTGTTTTGCTGGTCATTAACGTGATTAACGTTTGTTATTGTTCTGCTATTAGTCAAAGATTTTTTGGACTATGACACTTTAGCGGCAGAACTAGACTTGTGGCGGCAAAAATGGAAGCAGCTACCTGCAGTCGACCGACCTAAAAACGCCATCGAAACGATAATCAGAGTGTAACCAGTGTATATTTCCAAATATATACATTTTATTAATGATCCTAGCAACTCTACCAGCGTCAACAGCTACACCAGAAAGGTCTTTTTCAACCCTAATGCCGCAACCGCACATGCGGTATTCGGCGATCTCCGATCGGGGCTTCGCCGATTTCCTATGTGTGTGGATGAAGAAGTCGGAGTTCGGCGACTCGATCGGCGACGAAAACGAGCGCTCATCTCTATGTTGTTGCTATCAGAGCCCGCATGTGTGGATGGAAAGGCGAAATCCGATCACGAGCGTTCGGTAGTTGACGAGCGCTCGGAGTTTGCTAAATGCCGCATGTGCGGTTGCGGCATAAGACGATTGAAGGACTTCCTACGTAACTCTACAGGTCAGGAGCGATTGACAGGACTTCCTCTATTAAGCGTACATAGAGAAATAAATATCGATATCGAAGAGGTAGTCAATCGTTTTTGAAGGGAAAAGACCAGTTTATCCTTTAAGATTAATAATTTTTACCTGTTACTTTTTTAAAATTTTATTTTCAATTAAGAGTTGAGTGTAGCCCAAAGCGATTTTTTTATTATGCTTTTTTCCTAGCAGATTTTGTACCGCCCTCCAAGCCAACCCCCCACCCCGAAATGTTGGTCTAGATATGGCCCTGCCATCAAATAAAGCTATTGAAATGAACCAAAATATACACTACCGAGAAAGAATGTACCTAGATGATAAAATTATTTTTAAATCCCTTGCTGTCTTTACATATTCCACAGGGTGTTTCAAACTTTCAGCAAAATATTAAGATTTTGTTTTCCTTGCGGAATTGGATATAAAATAGTGGTACTTGCCTTAATAGATAATAATATTGTTTGCTTTGATTTCAATATTTTGAACTTATTTTATTAGAATTATATATTTTTATACGTCTACCCTACATCATAGTTTTATATTTTTTAAATAAAATTAGAACGACACTGATAAACCGGAATTTAAGTCGGCCATATTTGAGGCCCATCGCGGTGTACCTAAGATTTTTGATATGCTCCTTCCTTAGTCTTCTTATTCAAAGGTATTAGGCATTAGCTTTGTTAGAAGGTTCGTTCCAACCGGACTGAGAACAGATCCTGGGACGGTAATTTCTAGTCGCCCACTTATTGTTTGAAAAGTTCGTTTGTCAAGATTAACAAATGAATTGATTGATAGAAAATTACCGTTCTAGGACGGTTCTTTCGTCCGATTGAAACAAAAATAGAGTTTTTGATATTACCAAATGCGCAGGTGAAAAAATCCACCTATTTCTCTCTGGTCATGCGTATTACAATTCTATGACGGTTCGGAATCTGTAATTCAAATTCGGTTCGTCAATGCGGCGATTCGGCAGAATGCCGGTTTTTGGGCGTCAAAAGGCCGTCAAAACAAATAAAACGAACAGATTGGAAGAATTTCCAAACGAACCATAGAATCGCATCGACGAACCGAATCAGCGAATAGTGACTATGGGGCCTAATTCCTTGTATTTTAAATAGTTAATGTTGATATACCCATACTATTTCACAACTATATTACACCATGAATAATCTACATATATAAAATGCTAATGTTTATCTGTGTCGCCTCTACTGAAGTAACGACTTGCTCTAGAAAGTTGTTTTTTTTACTAATTGGCTAATTGGCTCTTCTAAAAACTGTCGTCGCCGGATTTTGTTTTTCATTTAATTAAACAAAAAATAAAAAGTATTTTTTTTTCTAATGTCGTGGCGGATGCGCCAGGCTTCAACTAGTATGTCATAAACAGCCAGCATTTCTGGTGAATTTTGGCTTTAATTGATGTTACATAATATGTTTATGTAGGAAAACATTAATAAAACTACGAGCGTACTTCATTTATACGTTCATACGTTATAAGTTCATTTTATACCTTGGCTGCTATAATATGGAATACAATCAAAACGAAATATCGAAACAACACAAGCTTTTACGATTTTAACAAGGTTTTAAGGTTACCTTTTGAAATGACCAGTTGTTTTTTTACGTGTAAAGGAGTTTCTGCGCTTCGGCCTTCTTGTATGTCGCTTGTATACAGCTTGTGGGCATATTTTTATTACGTATGTACAGGGTGTCCCATTTTGGTTGAAATCCTACGGTATCTCATCAACCTGTCCCACTTTTTTGTCAAACGGAAGATGCTGTCAACAAAATTTTCATAGCCCTCTTCGTTTCTGAGCTATATGGTGTTTTCGAAAATTTTGCAATTTGGGACAGCCCTAAGCCGTCACTTTACATAACTCTAAGATATGAGTAAATATATTTCGATAGTTTCAGAGATATTAAAAAATAAATAAAAAATATATATTTCTCAGCCCTTCTTAAAAAGACTATTAAAAATTATATTATTTACTGTAGATGGTCTGTTCTTACTTTGCTATAAATATGGTAATCGTAAATCATACAGGATGTTCAATATTCTACGCCAAACTTTCTAAAATATAAAATATATATTTTTTTAATAGAACAAACATCGTGTATATTATTTTTTCAATAGATGGAGAATTACGAAATGAACATTTTTTGTATTTAAAGTAGTAGTTTTGCAGATACACACAGTATTATTTCATAGGGCGCTTTCAAAGGTAAAATACGAGAGGAAAATCATTGGGTGGCTTTGATAAAAATTTACTGTGGAAAATGCCATATGAAATATAAAACCGCGAATATCTGCGAAACCGTTAAACATTTTGAAATACTATAAATACAAAAAACGTTCATTTTTTAATTCTCCATCTATTAAAAAAATAATATACAGGGTGTTACATTGAAAAAAAACGAAGAAAAATTATTTTATCTTTTAGAAAGTTTGGCGTAGAATCTTGAACATCCTGTATGATTTACAATTTCCATATTTATAGAAAAGTAAGTACCAGACCATCTAAAGTAAATACCTAATATATAGTTTTGATTTCAAGGCAGTTCTTGTATTATTAATAATTTTTTTAAGAAAGGCTGAAAAATATATAATTTTTATTTATTTTAACTAACCCAAGCAAACCAAACCAACTAGTTTTTTCCAATCCCTACAATCGATTTATCATGCTCATTTAACATTTTCTCTGTATTGCATTCATATTACCATGATTAATTATCAGTTTTTTTTTTCTTTCAGGTTCAACCTCTACTAATTTCCCTCCAAGAAATTACGTCGAGATGGATTGCTTCTGTTCAAAACCGACTCCCGTTCACTGCAAAATCGTCTTCCTCGACGAAACCGAACTCGTCCACGAGCTCCAGAACAACAGCCCTGGCCAAGCCCTCCTGGACATCGTGTTCCGCCATTTAAACCTACTCGAAACCGCCTACTTTGGATTACGATTTCTGGACCTCAACGGACAAACCCACTGGCTCGATCCATCCAAAAGATTAAACAAACAAATTAAAGGTGCCGATCCGTACACGTTGTATTTCGGAGTTAAGTTTTATGCTGCAGATCCATGTAAACTCTTGGAAGAAATCACCAGGTACCAGTTTTTCCTGCAAATCAAACAGGACGTTTTGCAAGGACGCTTGTTGGTGCCTTTCGAATTGGCGGCCGAGCTGGGATCTTACATTTTGCAATCGGAGTTAGGAGATTATGATCCTCGACGACACGGTTACGGATACGTATCCGAATTTCGCTTTTTACCTAATCAAAGTGTGGAATTAGAGATGAGGATAGCAGAACTACACCAGACACTCATAGGACAGATGCCCGCACAAGCGGAACTGACCTACTTGGACAAAGTGAAGTGGCTTGAAATGTACGGTGTGGATTTACATCCCGTGTTGGGCGAGGATCACGTGGAGTACTTCTTGGGTTTGACGCCAAGCGGAATTGTGGTGCTAAGGAACAAGAACACCGTCGGAAATTACTACTGGCCTCGTATAACGAAGATTTACTTTAAAGGGCGCTATTTTATGCTACGTGTGACGGACAAAAATAACGACGAGTGTACGTACGGGTTCGAGACACCGTCGAAATCGGCCTGCAAGCATTTGTGGAAGTGCTGCGTGGAGCATCACGCCTTCTTCAGACTGGTGCAGGTACCGCCTACCTCGCCGGACATATTCGCCCTAGGATCTAGATTCAGGTAAGCGAATTTAAAGCTTCCTCGTAATCATCTCCCGAACCGATTTAAAAAGGGTAGACTATATTTTATTAAGGAAATTGTTTGCGGTGATGTTTTGATTAGAGGGTTCTTGACTTTAAAGGAATTATGGTCTATCTAGATATTGGAGCCCAAATTCTTTTCGATGCTGTTTTTTTTTCTATATAAAATTCACCTATAAGACTATAGGGTGATTCAGGCTTCCGAAAAGGCTCTATATTAAGTTTTTGGTTTGTGAATTTGTTTTCAATTATTTTACATAATATGGGGGCAATGGCAACGCACATTTTGAAAATATTTTTGTCAACATGCAGGGTGATTCAAACATATTTTCAAACCGAAGTTGTATATTTTTAAACGGAATACTATTATACAGGGTCGCTGTTATGTATGGAAACGGTTGATTATTAGGTAAAATATAGGAGGTACCGCAAAAAGTTAAATACAAAAATTCAAGTATACAGGGTCGGTCATAAAGTCGTGGCACATAAAAGTTTCATTTTTTAAATAGATTCCCCTGTATATTATTGCATATTTCAATTCTTCCTTCAATCTAAGCAAAAATCGAGATAACACAATGTACCTCCAACCAACCGTTTCCGAGTTATTGACTTTTGAAAATATCACTTAAACAATTTGAATCAAATGAAACTGAACATATCGAAATTAATTAAATCAAATTGTTTAAGTGATATTTTCAAAAGGCAATAACTCGGAAACGGTTGGTTGTGAGGCAAGAACGGTAAACTAATACGATTGCTGATCCTCATAAGACGTACAGCTGGTTCCAATAAAATTGAATAGGATTTAAAACATATTTTTATTATTTCGGGCAGTATATTCTATGATACCAGTCCCCCATATCTCTACTCATGTCATGCTGACGTTCTGAAAAATTTATTTGCCACTTTGTCAAAAGCAAAGTTGTTTTATACAATGTCACAATAACCTTAACATGTCAAAATACTTGACACATAAATATACACTGCCCAAATATTCGAAAAAATGTCTAAAGAGTCGTATTCATTTTTTTTGGAACCAGATGTACGTTCGCCTCTTCCCGCGCTTCAGCAGACAGTTGTGACGTCATTGCAGTCCTTGTCATGATAGTCTGTATTATTGGTTGCCTATGGTAAACGTATAAAAATAACAGCTGAGAAATTTTGAGTTAATTATTTTGTCGATTTTAAATATGAAAAAGGTGTTTTTAAAGTTTTTAGAGTTATAGAATGTATAAATACGTTCATTTTGTGTTGTGGATTGTGACTAAGTGCCTACGATATTGTTTATTAATTAGTTTAAAGCAAAATATGGAAGTACTCTAAAAAGAATGCCTGTAGAAGGTGTGCTGCTGGGAACTTCTGTTCTTACAAATGCATTATCCGAGTATATAATACGATTTATACAGTTAAATAAACAAACTATAATAAATAATGAATGTTTTGCATACGGCAACCAATAATACACACACTATCATGACAAGGACTACAATGACGTCACAAAGCGAGGAGTTTTCGCATGCACCTGGCCTATTAGGTTAACTGTTCTTGGGTTTGAGGTATATTCTATTTCATTATTATTCTATTTTCATTTTAAAAAAATGAAACTTTTATGTGCCACGACTTGATCGACCCTGTATTCTTAAATTTATTACTCGCTAATAGATTTTTAAAAATCCTATAACTTTTGTATTAAACTGTTAGCGGTACCTCCTATATTTTACCTAATAATCGACCGTTTCCATACATAAAAGCGACCCTGTATATATTTTAACTCAGTGGATTTGCCACTAAATTTCCGTTCCAAAAATAAAATAATTTCATATACTTACTATACCGAGTGGTTTTTGAAATATAACCGTTTTACTGCTTTTTAGGGGGCAAGTAACCTCTTAAAATTCTAAATTCAGAGAATTTTTTTTTAACAGAAAGTACTATATAATATTGTCTTTCTAGGCGGCAGGCCAAACTGGGCCGATCAAAATAAGAGAGAGTTGGTACGTGACAAGCCAAGTCCGCGGACTAAATCCGCAGACCATATAAGTAGGTCTAATCTGCAGGCCATTATCTGGCACATCTTCTGGTGCATCGGGGGCTATTCTATTTCAAGTTGTTGTATTATTTGTCAAAATTATTAATTATTATTAAAAAATTAATTAATTATTATTTTTTCTCACACTTGCCTACTAATAAGCTAAGTAGTCGTCATAAGATATAATTCTTATTTTTAAGTAAGTATCAGTTTGTCTAATGACAATGTAAACGATATTAGAGGCAAAAATGCTATTTTGTTCGAAATTCTCCTTCTAAAAGTATTTCCTATTCAGATTTTTGTGTTATTTCAAGATTTCAAAAGATTTACAGTGTTTGATATTACCCTTGTTTATATATTCTTAAAGTTGTTCAACCGACTAGACAAAATGTGCTGCCAACTGGAGGACAAATCGTGAACCTTTCGGGGCGGAGTCAAAAATATCGATTATTTTCGTTATTTTCCTCAGAGTAATGTAATAATATAGCCCGGGTTTCTGCGAGCTTTAATAATGATCAGCTGATTAAGACATTTAAACGAAACTTTTATTTTATTGTAAATTGTGGATTATTTTTGCCTGTTATTTTAAGAATTCTAAACCGTATTAACAAAGAAATTATTATTTCGATATGTTGGTACATTATTTATAATTTATGATAATGCTAATTGCTGTTAATTAATATATAAAAAAAAGTTACATACCTATTTTAATTTGATTTAATGCAGGTTTATAAAAGAATCATTTCATTCTTAGATTATTTTATTCTAAATTGACTGCTTTACGAATTTTATGATATTTTTTTTGAAAACATGAAACTTTTTACATTTTTGATGCCAACTAATTGGCATGGTATTATTGGTATGGGAATTAGCCAAGAAAGAAAAGAATTGGCTATAACTTGTAATTGTTCGAGAGAAAACATATTATACTGTTGCGGGCCGGTGTGGACTCGACCTAACCTCACAATATGGCCCGCCCTCGGATGACCTTAACATCGCATAGACACCGCAATGATTCATTCGTTCGAGAAGAATCGAGTCCCACTGGAATGGACTAGTACATACGAGAACATTCGAAAACCTTCTCTACGCACCTAACGATCTATGGACTATTCTAGATTTCTTTTGCTGTAGGTATAAAAGCCGGCGGCAGTGGCCTAGAGAGGGCAGTTATAAATATACCAGTGCAGTTGACGCGCAAAAATTCAAAATAAATTCTTAGTTATAAATCGTTTGTAAATAGTTCTATAAGTCTTTTATCGTTATTGTTTTTGTAAATTAGTGTTAAATAAATAGTGTTTAAATAAATTGTGACTTTCTATCCACACGGAACCGACGAAAAACGTAACAATTGGTGTCAGTGTGGCGTGTGTGATAGACTAGAAAAATAAAAAGACTAACGATGGCTCCAAAAAAATTGAAAGACCTGAAAGTGTCGGAATTAAAAAGCATACTGGAAGAGAGGGAATGCGAGACAGATGGAAAGAAAAGCATTTTGCAAGCCAGACTGAGAGACGTTTTGATTGAGGAAGGTGAGGATCCTGACACATTTTGCTTTGAGTTGGAAGGTGACCTTGACTCGTGCCTACAAAAATTAGAAGACAATTTGAATGACAAAATTACAGAAAATTCCCGGGAATTGCAAGACAATTTAAACGGCAATTTGAATAATTTAGAAGATAAAATGATGAAAAATTCCCAGGATTTAATTAATATTTTAGAAGATAAGATCGCAGAAAATTCTAAAGACATACAGGCCAGCTTTAATAATAAAATACTTAATTTAGAAGAAAGATAACAGAAAATTCCAGGAATTAGAAGAAAAGATTATAGAGAATTCTACGGAGCTACAAGACAAAATAACACAAATTGAGGACGATGTAAATAAAAAATCGAAATTTTAAAACAAGAAATAGAAAAGGCCAATTCACCAAAATGTCAAGAAACATCGGAGGCACCGAAACTAGTCGAAAATAAGTATATCTCAAAGTCAGTTATTAAGCCTCCACAGTTTGACGGAAAAACCGCTTGGGCCAATTATTTTTGCCAGTTTGAGGCCGCTGCGAGAGCGAACGGATGGACAATCGCTGAAAAGGCTACCGCTTTGACTGTCGCACTGCGAGGAGATGCGACTGATATTGTCACCATCGGAACAGGGAGATTATCAGCAATTGGTACGACATTTAGAAATGAGGTACGGCCAAGCTCATTTGGAACATGTCTATCATTCCCAGCTAAAAAATCGCATTCAAAAGTCAAATGAGTCTCTGCAGGAGTTTGAAGCCGACGTAGCCCGCCTCGTTCGCCTTGCGTACCCTGCTATGCCCGAAAATGTTATGGAGCGCTTAAAAGTACAGGCTTTTATTGATGGTTTACGTGACAACGAGACAAGGCAAACACTTCTTTTAGCTCATCCAACGCATTTGGGAGATGCCCTAGCACGTGCCCTGGAATTTGAGGCCGCGAAAGAATGCTCTAGGTCTCTAGGATTTGTACGGGCTGTTGAGGAGTGTTCCGACGATTCCAAAGTGGAAAGGATTGTGCGGAAAGTACTGGATCAGTATATGAGCAAGAAGGGGGGACCGATTCGCTGTTGGAATTGCGGACAGATGGGAAATCGTTGCAAAGAAGAGAAAGAAGTGAAAGTCTTAAGGACGACCGTGGTTGGTGATACTTGGCAAACCGAAGATCTTGCAAATGACCAAATCAGCGATCCAGAGTTGGGCTTGGTGATTAACTGGAAAAACGCGGACCAGAGACCAACGTGGGGGGAAGTTTGCAGATATTCGCCGAACGTGAAGTCGTACTGGGCCCAGTGGAATTCCTTGGTAATAGATAACGGACTACTTCGCCGTGTGATCGAGAGACCGGAGGGCAAGAAGAGAGAAGACAGATCGTCATTCCAAAGAAGAGGGTCCCAGAAGTCTTGGAGGAAGTTCACAATGGAACCA